CTTGAAAATGTGTCTTTAAAAAAAGTTTTTTTTGAGAATGCGAGATCTGAGAGATTATTCCTCAAAGTTTGCACGTTCATCCTTTTCAAAGAAGTACAATTATTAGATATACCACGTTTTGTTATCCTCGGAACCATAGCCTACTCAGTTTCAATCTGTGCTCTTACTTCTAGAAGAAGATATAGATCTAGATCTTGTCTATAAAAAATAACCCCATCAAATTACCCCCAAAAAGTTTGAAAATACATTACTATCTTTAGAAAAAATATAACCAACAAAAACAAAACAAAAACAAGTGTTGTTATCTTAGTTCTTCATCCCATTTAATGTTGGCACACTTTTTTCTCGTTCGTTTGTGAGAGTTAGTTGATTCAGATTCCAGGGGGAGACCAAAATAAATTGGGACTACTACTATTTAAAAACGTCTTTGTTCTGTCACTTCCGCATTGCTTTTTCGTTGTCTGAATCTGAGAAAGCCAGCTGCTGCTGTCAACACACACGTGTTGCCGAGAGGGTAGAGGTCACGATTGAACTTGTTACTCCACGACCTATTTACGCAGACGTTAAAGAAGAATAGTCCGCCACTATCCTGAAAGGCAGTGGAACTTGCTTTCAGCCCATGAAAAAATTATTTCGGAGAGAAAAAGTGCCAGAAAAGAATATATCTTCCCAATCCCATACAGTATTATGTAGAAACGTTCACGACGACCTTCTTTCCGAACTACATTGTTTCCAAGTTTGTTTCCGGTTTCGTCACCTTTCTGTAGCGGAATAATTTGTTAACAACAATACCGTAGGTAGCGAACATGGCAGCGCATGGTACCAATCCGAAACGGCCCAATTCAAAACAGATGAACCTTGACTTGCTGATCCAAGCCTGTAAGCATTTATATTCTTTCAAATTTTGATTTTATCAGTTTTTCATGTTGTTTATTTGTGTTCTTTTTCAACTTTCCGAGCAATATCGTTATCGACAATGCATTGTCATTGATCCACTCTGCCAACCAGGAAGTGGTCTCTATAACGTTTAAGCATTCATTTCCTGTTCGTCCGATGCCCCTGTCTCCTTTCGTTCTTACCTGAAACACTCATTCTAGCGACTTTATTTTTCACACGCTAATACTTCTTTGTGAATTGAGTTTTGACAATGTTTGATAGCTTTTTTTTTTGTCTTTGATGACATTTCAACGCCATTAGGAGTTACATTTTTAGGTCTTTTTGGGGGTCTAGATCTAGATCTAGATCTAGATTCTAGATCTAGATTCTCTAGAGTCTAGAGTAGAGATCTAGATCTATCTAATCTAGAATCTAGACTAGATCTAGATTCGAGATCTAGATCTAGATCTAGATCATCGAGATCTAGATCATCGAGATCTAGATTCTATATCTAGATCGAGATCTAGATCTAGAATCTAGATTAGATCTAGATTTCTAGATGTAGATCTAGATCTAGATATAGATTATAGATCTTAGATTAGATGTCTAGATTCTAAATCTAGAGATATATAGATCTAATTAACTAGATTCTAGATCTAGGTCTAATCGGAAACAAAGAAGAGTGTGTATTGCTGCTTAGTGCACAGTTGCTGTGTGTAGAGTACAGGATTTGAGACTAGATCTAATATCTAGAATCTAGATCTAGAGTGTAGTAGTAGGGCCTACTAAGTAGGAACCTTTTTATTTTTAAAATAAATTAGATCTAGATCTAAGGGGGTCCAAAACAACAGTCAACAGTTGCACAACAGTACAGTCTACAGTGCAGCGGTCCTGTTAAAGTTAACAAAGAAATAACTGTGTTTTAATTTTAAGTTGAATAGGATAGGTTTTGCTTTTAATTTTTTATACTGACTAGATTCTAGATCTAATCTATAGTCCTGTTATATGTATTGAAACTCGCCCTTAGTCCTCTCTTTCAAAGTTTTCTTAGTCACATTATTATATAAGATAAGTAAATAGATCTAGGTAGTTATATATATATGTCTTGTAGTTTTTTTGTCTGTTTGTAAATAATACTTTTCCTTTGATAGCTCTAATTATTTTGATGGGAAAAGCATTTAGTCTAGACTTAAAATATAATAAGGAAGAGGCTAGCCGTACTTGACGGCTAGACTGGCAGTGTAGCTGTACTTAAGTACGGCTAGACAGCCAGGCTAGCCATACTTAAGTACGGGTAGACAGCCAGGCTAGCCGTACTTATAAAAGGACGGCTAGACTGTCAGGCTAGCCGTACTTAATATTGATGGATGAATTGTAAATTAAATTTTTAGTTTGCAATGCCTAAAGTATTTGTATTTCAGACAAAACCAAAAGGTGCCTTACTGACTTGCATGTATTTGAACCTGAATAATTATTAGATTTAGATCTAATGAGACCTGTGTACTTAACAGGTTTGAGTCGATAGGGCCAAACCTAGATCTAAGTACGGCTATACTGGCAGTCTAGCTGTACTTACAGCTAGCCACTTCGTATAATAAATATAATACTCCCAATTCCAAGCCACACAGTGCTGTTGTTACGTAGTAGACTCTCATTTCATAGAAAAATTAGGGTGAGCCTCCCTTTTTGACCTGCTTTGTCCACCTTTTATTTTAATAATTATGCTACTCTGTCTGACAGTTAATTTGAAACTCAACTGATATTGAATTTATATAGAGGAAAAGAAAGACTTGTGTTTGACGTATTTATCTAATACTCATTCTGTTTTAGTCTGACTGGACTAAAATCATAATTTGTCACCAATCTTTGTTACGATTTGTCTACAGTTATTTTATGTCCCAGGAGTTATCAGTTTTCTAGATTGATGAGCTTAAATGGTCTCCTGTTTAGTTCCCTGTTACCTGTGCAGTTTTGTTTTCACCCTCATTTTTACTTTATATTCAGGTTACATCTATATATTCATATTGTTATGTTTCTGTGTGAACTGTTTTGTGCTTTCACGCTTTTGTTAACTCCTTTTCTGTGGCAAGCTGCTCCCAGTGGCTCATGGTGGGAATCGGTGAGCCGCTGGCAGTTGTTCAGGAATAGCTGTTTGACAATTCGGTTTTGTATTAATTTTCGGCCGTTGCCGAAAACAGGGTTCTTTTACTAACAGTTTTTTTATTGGCTGAAAAAGCATCAAAATAGTTTCATCAGTTTTGATATATGATGCACATTTCACTTTAAGTTTCTGACCAAAAGAGGGCTCCGTCATTATGAGCAAAACTAAAACCCCTCCAGGGATAATGTAAAGCGTTAATTTAGTAGGTCCTGGCCCTGCCTTTGGCTAACATTTGCAAGCGCTGTAAAACTTCAGTTAAAAAAAAGAAGAAAAAAAGAAATCCATAAGTTCCTACCTGCTAATATGAATTGAAATTCAACTTGATTCAGTCAGCTTTCAAGGATAGTATCTTGGCTACTTCACCTCCAAATTGTTGATTATGAATAGCTCGTTATGATTTTTCATTTTCACCGTTGCAGCTTTCCATCTCTATTTTTTAGCTATATTGCTTGCTATTACATGTTGCTCCTGGTAGTTGCCTTTCTTCTGACAGGCCTCTTTGACATTTGTTTTAGAGTTGTGATGAAATTTGGTCCCCCCTTCATCTCACTCAAAAAGGACTAAGTTATTGTCCATGTCATTAAATCCATATAGTCAAAACGCTAATTCCTGGTTGTGAGATTATTTATAGTGTGGCATAATTACCAAGAAAAAATACTTGCGTTTCAAGAATGTTGGCCTCAAATGTGATTCTTACGGACAAAGACTGTTTCTAAAAGAGTTTAATGTCTAAGATAGCAAGTTGTTGTTAATTTCTGAAAATGTCGAACACGTAGTTCCAGCCACTGAATATGTTTTGTTGTAGGATGTAAAGTAAAGAGGCCAGGCTCTATGTAATGGAGCTTCAATGTAAACTTAATGACTGAGACAGCTGGTAGTATCATTTTTCTCTAATTTCTGAAAAGGAATTTCCCTGTTATTGCTCTCATTTGTTACATCTTTTGGGTTTTTTGCAACAATGTTTGCTGCTGTTCAGTGTTGATATAGTTTACAGTCTGCCGTTTTACTTTGACTAGTGTGCATTGTCTTTAAGTTGACCATGCTTTTTAAAATGTAAAGAAGTAAAAATGTCCTAGATCAGAATAAAATGCGGATTTGCAGGGGCAGTGATGTAATGAAGCTTAAATTGTAATTTTGTTCTTCTCAGCATTAAGTGTGTTTTTAAATGCTATCATCTCATACTTTCAGCTTCCCAATTTTGGGACTTAATAATATAAGAATATATTCTGAGAGAATATTATAATGTGCTTTCACCAGGTTC